GACTATTGGAAAAAAGATCTACTCTTTAGCATCCCAATATTTAGTGCAAATATGAGTCGTGACAGATTCCTATTGATTTTTAGATGTCTTCATTTTTTGAGAAATCCTGTACCCAAAAATCCACTACCTGAAGATAGGCTTTTCAAGATACGCCCACTCATTAATTACTTTAATAAGAAAATGATGGAAATTTATTATCCAGATAAAAATTTATCTTTAGATGAATCGATGGTACTGTGGCGTGGTACCAATCTACCAATATATTAAGAACAAGCGCCACAAGTACGGAATAAAGCTCTTTGCCCACTATAGCGTACCATACCATGACCATAACAGGAACGTGTCAGGCACGAAAGAAAGCACTCCGGTCACTACTGGGTCCACTGCAGCGAACCAACAGCGTTTTTTCCTCACATACAATGGACGGTGCGTGTCGGTACCTGCAAAATATTCTTGTCGTGAAATAGTTGACGGTCCTGTCATGGCCTGTTACGATGTTGGCCGGGACGGAACGGTCTAGTGGGCGTTGTCACATATCAAAACATGCAAAGAATATTTGTTTATATGTGTCGATACGGTTACGGTCCTAGTATAGTAAGGTGTAATGGGCAGCAAGGGCGTAGATAATGGGGGTAATTACCCCCCCAAGCCATAGTCAACATCAATATTTTTTAAACGTTATATTAAACAAAAATAGAGAAATAAAATAAATACAATGAAACAAAGAGTTTCTCAAACATTGTCATCTAAAATAACAATATTCCTGCAAATTGAAAATTAAAATTTATATAAAGGGTCCCATTAGTGCGTAATTGTTCAATATTTAAATTTGTGTTATTGACAAGCAAAAAAGATTTAATAAAAGTTATATGGATTTGAAAAATACATATTTTAAAAATATTTCGTTTTTGCATGACAAATAAAAATGTACGTTTTTTAAATAGAACACCCTATATTTTATATTATTTTAAGAAAGGCTTGGGAATACTGTATTTAACCCTAAAATGTTTTTAAAAAATATTTCAGTTTTGCCAGACAATTATTTTTTTTTAAATTAGAGAATGATGCAGACCACAAATTAAATTATCTTAATTTAGGTAGGTTTACATTAATTTCAAAACTGTTTAATACACAGACTTATAAAATACTAAGCTAACGAATAGAGGTGATACAACTGGTTTATTCTATACAGAGTGATTTAAAACATGTCTTAAATATGGCTAATTTTAAGTGCAATTTACTCAATTTTTTCAAACGCAAAACACTATATTATCTTGTCATAAAATTCCCTATAAATTTGCATATGTAACAAAAATAATGTGTAAGTCAATAACACATATACAGGGTGTCCCATCAGTACATAATTGATCGATAACTGTTTTATTATTATTATTACTATTATTATTAGAAATCCGACGAAATGTTTATTATTTAACAAATATTCCTAAATATACGGGGTGGACCATAAATGAGGTGATGACCAAATCTATATTTTTTTAAAACACCCTGCGAGTAGTAATACATTTTTGATTGTTTTTATATCGTCAAACAATTTTAATTGACGTCATTCATTTGGTATGTTGTATATAGAGTGTGTCAAAATGTGAGGTTACGATTTTCTCAATTTTTTAAATGGAATATCCTGTATTAATTAATTGGTGGTATGACATATAGGGTATTCCATTTAAAAAATGAGAAAATCGTTACCCCTCATTTTGAAACACCCTATATACAACAAGAATTTTATGCGAAAATAATATACAGTGTTTGACAGAATTGAGTAAATTGAACTTAAAATTAGCCATATTTAAGACATGTTTCAAAACAATTTGTATAAAATAAATCAGTTCTATCACCTCGGAAATAGAAAGGTCTACAAAGATCAACCAGAAGTCTCTTTTTTTGTGACAAATGGCGTGAGAAATATTTATTAATCTTAAATTTTATGAAATATAGGGTGTTCAAAAAGTTTTGAATAAAATTGTTTCTTTAGTCCTTCATTATACAACAATGGGTTATGATAATTTATAGAAATAGTGTTTAACTAATAATAATGATTACATATAGTCTTTTCTGTAAGGGAAGATATTTAAAAAATATGTATTTATGAAATTCACTTTATCACCCTGTAGAATGAAAACTGGAACGTTTATAGGAAAAATATATTTAGCTTTTCTTTATAATTGATTAAGATCTCCAAATCCTGAAAATTATGGTACTTTATTATGAAACACCCTGTATAAATATATAAAAAATTAAAACTTCATTATAAAACTCTTTTTTCTGGAAATACACATATGATCTCTAGACGTTGTATTGGTACCATATTCTAAGATAACACGCTGAGTATTCACCAATAATGTGGAAAGTGTTACCCCCCCCCCAAGAAATCAACCTAGCTACGCGCTTGATGGGCAGAGACCTTCAAACTTAACGCAGGACATTAATTATTTATGGATAACTATTATAATTCATATGAATTAGCGGTTAATCTTTTACAAAGAAAAACACTATGTAATGGAACTCTAAATATGAGGAGAATCTCTATACCGCCTGAGGTAAACAATGCCAAATTATGTATGTGTGTGTATGAGTGTGTGTGTGTTTAAACTTAAGCTTTGTTCTAGTGTCCAATGAACTGATTAGATTTTAAGCAGAGTCGAAACATCTGGGGGGGTACTTTATGGGTGGTCATTTTTATATTTTATGGAATATATATGTTATTTACGTTTGGGGAAAAAAATTTAAATAAAAGTTACTTCTTATATTATTATCTATAATTTTTGTTCCATACAAAATTTTCCTAAAATGGTCCGTATTCGAGAAATTTGACAAAATGTAAAAAAATATTTTTTTATAAAAATTGTTTAAATAAAAGTTGTTTGTAATATAATTCTCTATAATTTTTATTATATACATAATTTCTCTAAAATGGACTGTATTCGAGAAATTTGAGAAAATTGTAAATTTTGAAATTTGAAGAAAACTCAAAAACGGATAAAGAAAAAAACATTAAATTTTAAACTTAAGTTTTATTTCGGCCTGACGTGAAATGATTAAATTTTGGACAAAGTCGAAACATCTGGGGGGTACTTTATGGGAGGCCCTTTTTATATTTTATGGAATATATCTGTTATTTATGTTTGGAGAAAAAAATTGTTCAAATAAAAGTTACTTGTCTATAATTTCTGCTTTGTCAAAATTTCCTGAAATGGTCCGTATTCGAGAAATTTGACAAAATGTGCAAAATTCTGATTTTTATGAAAATTGTTGAACTAAAAGTTGTGCGATATCGATCTCTATAATTTTTGTTAATACATGATTTTTCCAAAATGGACCGTAATGAAAAAATTGTAGGAAATTTAAATGTTTCAGTATTTTCGTTTTAAATGAGTATCTATAGAAAAATGTTTCGAGGTAGATGTATATGGACAATGTATATATTTAGTTTATTCTCTAAACATTTATAGAGATGCTACATAACCGGAAAAAGCCTATAATAACTAGATAGGAAAGTCATGTGTTGGACACATCAGATTTTTTTACTTATCGCGAGCATTCGATTGTTTGGACCCAAACATCTTATGTCAAAAATTAAATGCAGTCGGTATAGGAAACTCTTTATATTCATGGGTAAATTTATATATTTCAAATCGTCCCTGTTTTGTTTCAGTTGATAATATCTCTTCTGATATATTTTATATTGACCTAGGAACCCCTCAAGGGGGAGTACTAGGCTCATTACTTTTCCTATTGTACGTTAACGATATGCCTGGGAATTTTAAAGATCAGGATGATATATTTATTTATGCTGACGACACAACAGTAATAGTGTCTGGCAGTACTTTAGCACAGTTAGTAGAAAAAGTAAAAAAGATTATTATGGGATTTAAAGAATGGTGTGACTGTAATAGATTGGTTTTAAACTTGGAAAAAACAATTTGTGTTCATTTTGTCCAATCAACTTTTGATGTAAACATCAACAAATCAACAAAGTTAATGTATTAGTAAATTCAGCAAATAAAACTAAATTTCTTGGGACACTTGTCGATTGTAATCTAAACTTCAGATAACAAATAGATAATATTTCCAAAAATATGTACGTGTAGATAAATGTTAAATATATGCTCCTCTGGAACCACTTTTTCAAAATTCAATTCAGTTTTTTTAGTTTAGAAAAAAAGAAGATTAAAATTTTGAAAAAGTGTCTCCAGAGGAGCACACCTTTACCTACACGCCATTTTTTTTCTTTCAAAATAAGTCAAAAATAAGCTTCTAAAGTGGGGAACTACGAAACCCTTCATGCTCTGCTCTAAAGCAAAGTAAAATTAAAAAAAAAAAACTTTCAATAGAAGTGAACTTTGTAGTGTAAATTAATTGCAAATTATTCTGAAGAACATTGCAGTCGATTTTATTATGATGGTTAGATTTCCACTGATTGAGGCATATTATGTACCGGAACTATTCCTTTAGAGTTTTATTTTTGATTCATCAAATCATTCACAATCACCGTCGAAATAATCCATAAGTGTCCAAAGGGAACAAACTTTAGAATGCTAAAAAGTAACTTATTTTTAGTAAAATCTTTAAAAAGTTCATTTAATTTTTGCATATCTGCTTTTAAAATGCGAAATAAATTTTAAAAAAATAATGCCACTATACAGTAGCCCAAAGTTAGTTACATGCATTATTATTAAATAAGTTTATACATTAGTTTAAAATTGTTTAAATCTATGTTTAAAATTGTTTAGATCTCTCAAATTGTTTTAAAAATATGGAACTAGACTTTACGAATTTATTTTTTTAATTTCATTTTCCACTTTGATGAAATATGGGTTTTAAACTCATTTGGGCCTGACCTATTCTACCTGGTGAGCACTAGGCAAGACAATATGGACGACTGCAATATGACTGTTCGTCGTCTTGTTTATATATAGATAAGCAGTCTATATACACTATATGTCATTGTTTATGACATGACTAGATGACAGTAAAAAAATGTAGGTTAGAAAATACACTATACTTTCAGTACTATTGTCAAACATTCCAAAAATGTATAAATTTTTGTGGGGGTTGCGTTTTTTTTGTGATGGAATGAAGTGTAATGAACATCCACAAGATTCTACATGTAAGGCTAGCTGTAGGCCACTAGAAATGTCTAACGAAGTAAGTAAATAAATAGTTTTCTGCTATCTTAAAGATAATTTTAGATATATAATATAATTTGTTTACCTTCATTAAATATTTAAATGTTGAAAGTACGCATAATTATATGTATCTTGGTAAAATAGTACCATTTTAGAGGTAATTTTTTAAAATTTTAATACTTTAGGTTAAGCATGGGCGTAGTTAAGGTAATTTGTACAACCAGGTGGGGTTTATCTTTCGAAAATTTAACCTCACCAATAATATTTTAGGATGAAACGGATGACGGAGACGAAAATAAATCAGGTTTAAATTTACTTTTCAGTGTACCAAGAATATCAACACCAAGGCAAAATTTTGATAATGTCACTTTTGCTAGTAAGTAACATCACCATATTATATATAAATAGTAAATAGGCGCTTTCTTTTTTGGGGTCAAATGATTAGTAGCAAAATACGCAAAAAATGGACAATTTTTAAAAGATTATTTTCCTAATTTTTTAAAAGATTAAATTATTCTAAAATCCTGATTTAATACTGGATTTTTTGTAACTAGACCGCCAAAATTTTAGAAAATAAGCATTTTTTGCTTAATAAGTCGATGCCAAAAGCGCTTCATTTCTGAAGTATTATTCAGGTCAAAAGAATGGTTTTCAGCAGCTTTAAGATAAGTAAGTACTTATTTACAATGGAAAGAAATTATTCAGGTTCAAATTATAGTGAATATCTAATGAAAAATGCCTAGTAATAATTTATATTTTTCAAAGGAAAATTTCTTTAATTCTCAGAAAAAGTAGGTAAGTATTTATTTGGACGGCTACACACTGTCCCTCGATACCTAGATTTTATTGGGTTCAGTTTTAAAGTAAGATTAAAGGTACCATTTGGGTAGGCGCGACCGAGAACCATAGAAATAGTATAGAAAGCCGATTCCATATATCAAAAATGAAACCATAAGGAGAAAATAGTGTGTCGGAGCTCATGCGTATAACGGGGCTGGCGCGAACAGGACCGGTGCAAGTTTTTTATTGATCGAACAAATAGTTCGCACGATATTTCAATCATACATTTTTAGAGATGATTCTATACAAAAAACGATTAAAAAAATTTCAAGTTAAGGTAAATATGGTTCTGACAGTCCTTATTAAGAAAGATATGGCATAAAATATGAATTAGTTAATTTTCGGCAATCATTAGTACAGTAGTCATGAGATTTTGCTTGTGATTTTAAAAATACTTTCCAGAAAAACCACGTGCTCCGGTTTTGACTACGTTTATTATTAAACAGCGAAATTATATACAAAAACTTTAATCCACAATCTAAATTAGGTACTATCACAAGAAAATCACTGTTACAATAAATAATTACTTAACCAAAAACTAAAATACTTTTTAGGTACCTACGTAACCAGAAAGGAGCTGGACCATTTATCCTAATATTGATTTTCTCTCTCCCTACGGTAAAACTTAAAACAATAACAAATTGCCTATCTACTAGGGTCGGTAACTAAATGTATATACATAATGGGCGGATTTTGTTTATACTTAACATTACACTCGCGCATTTAAATATAACTATGCATATAAATATTTACAAACAAAGATACTTTTCCAAACAGGCAATCATTAGTACTGTAGTCACGAGATTTTGCTTGTGATTTGACATCTTATTTGATAATATCATTTGCTACAACTAAATTTAATCTGGGGAGTGCAAAATAGGGCCCAGGAATATTATGTTCGATATTTTTTTACATTTTGTCAGCCGAGACTATGAGTCGTTAGACAGAAAACCTTTCATGTTACCATTTTCAATATAAATTAAAAAATTAAAAAATACTACTACATTTACTTGGTACATATTTTATTTTAATTTTGAACCTTTTTAAAAGGGTCTTTCGGTTCCATAATAAAAATTAGTTGCTGCTTACTAGAAACATTCTATATAGCCTAAACCAATTTATAGTTTGTTTTCGATCAATTTAATATAAAGATTTAAAGTTTTTAGTCGATGATAACATTCCACACCAGCACATTGCAAACCTATTTTATAAATAATAGGAATAAACTTGTAAATCATTAATTTGGTAGTTATCTCACTCATATGATTTTTTTGTTTATATGACTATTTCGATTTTTAAATATATTTTAGCCTTACAATATAAAGCGTTTTGTATCTACCACTTTTTTAATGAACGATGAATGTTGGCAGGCGTGTACCTTTTTCGGAACAAGAGGCGTTTTAACGAAGGAAATGATTTTCGAACTATCTAGTTAGTTTTCTGAAAAATAGAAAACGTTTGAAGAAAGTTGTCATTAACAGTTTGTCGTTCATGTGTTTCATTTTGATCAGCTTTCATACTAAATTGCGTAGAATATTTTTCCGATTCAAAATCGAGATTCTCGATATTTCCACAGTTTATTTATAATACCTTCTAAACTGGATTTATCTATCATTTTATATACTTTATAATATATGTTCATGCCCTACTTTTCACTTTATTAACAATTTTTTTTTAACATACTTCAAAATGGTAGGATATTCTCAATTCGTTGAAATATTTTTTTATGTATGTTGAACGATAATTCTTTACCACGTTGCCCGATTTCTAGGATTATTTTTGTTAGAAAAGGAAACAGTTTTATATACATTAAGTCAAGATCTGAAGATGGGATCCATAAGAAAATCATTAACATCTTTATTTTTAAAGTAGGTTTTTTTTTTTAAATTTCTTTAAACCTTACTGGTTCGAACGCGGTAAGGAATGAAGAAATGTAAATAATTGTTGTGCCAGCCAAAAAGCGAAGAGGAAGTACCGATTAAAATATCGAGTGACAGAAGAGTTCCTAAGATTGTTGAGATCGGGTTTATGTTTTAAAATTCCTTAAAACCGATATCGATAATGTCTCCCCGTCGCTGGGCAGCCTGTATATAAATATACAGCTCTCTATTTACATAATTATAATTCTTAGGTAGGTTTAGATTTGCAGACATAAATCTTGTAATAAATATAACAGCTGCCTAATACATTGATTACATTTTCATTAGCCAATGTAAAAATGTCTTTTATTGTACCTAGGATTTGACTAAACACTACACAAAACTAAAAATAAAATGCCACTTTCATCGTGTAATTAATGCCGCGTTTGAGAATCCACATCGGATGCATTTTTTACATCTCGAGCGTTTTTTATCCACATCGGACACATCTGTCCCATTACATTTACGTATACTGAATCACGTGATCAAAGATTTACTACTTACTACATCTCAGATGCATCCGATGTGGATTCTCAAACGCGGCATAAATAATAAACTACAAACGGTCCTGTAAGGGCAGCGTCATATAGCCTTGAAACACCGGATTTTAGTGCTATTGCCAGGTCAATATTGAATTTGTAGGTGAATCGCTTATTGAACATTAAAAATACGGTATTAATGACATTAATACGGTATTTGTATATATTTTTGGGAATGTAATTACACATAAATATTATTAGTTGATTATTTAAATGTGTATAAGTTATTTTGTGGCGATATTTCGTAGATATAAACTGTTTAAATCATATAATTTAAAAATTAATTAATTTAAAATTCTTTTCTGTTAGGTATGTTTAATATATTTGGCAAAACTACAGGGACAAGTCATGCATATTGCGCAAGCTTCTAGACACACTATTTTGCGATGTCAGGCGCAGAGACGCGTTTTTATGCACAGTAGGTTTCAATTTCTGCTTAAATGTTATGTTAATATTGGTCTTCTATATTATTTCTATGCCGAGAACGCTCTCTTCACGTCTGAAACACATCCAATTATATGAAACACATTTGGATCGGTCTCCGGGCAAAGCGTTTACTGCGTGTCGCACTCGAGGTCACTGTCCTCAGACATCGCTTGTATTTGGGGGTGATTAGTCGATATTTTATAGAATTGATAGTTGGAAAGTTCTTTCGATCTCGGCAGCGTTGACAGATGCTGGAACAGTATAGGTGAAAAAAACCCGTAGATCTGAATAGTAGATTTTAATACAGGGGGAAATAATTATAATTTGCAGTGCAGTAAATAAAAAATTAGAAAGTAAATAAAGAATAAAAACAAACAATAACTTTTTTATTATATACTTAAGGTACGGAAACAAACAAAAAAACCAATGAAAAATAATGGGTACCTACTTCTTTTAGATCACTCTGAATCAGATAATACAAAATCGTTGTGTTTGGCATGCATGTTCTTTTTATGATGCCTTATTAATTCTTTGTTTCATTTTAAATAAAAACAAATCTACAATAGTGGCTGATTATTACGCTGTTTTTACTGTAGAAAATTTACTAGAGAAAATATTCTTTAACCACTTGTTGAAGAATAAGGCAAACTTAATAAATTAAGATTAAAATTTACTAGAAACAAAAACATCCACTTAAAAACAATTGGTCTGGCAACGCTGATCATTCCCTCGAATGGTTGTCGTGCTACCTGTCTCCTTGCTTCTCAAATGTACAAACCATAACCACAGCTTAACAATACAGCTAAAACACTCTCTTGGCGGCAACGGTTTGCGTCGATTTCGTCGCGCATCGCTTAAGCTACGCCTTCGAAGGGAAAAGACGGTTTTGGTGTTCAGAATCGTACTTAGGTAAGGTGTTGAGTCGTGCGTATAATTTCGTTGATTGTATAATTTCGTGGAGCCTATAATTTCGTTGATTGTATAATTTCGTTGATTTTGTTTGAGTTAAAGGTACTGTTATTATTTTGGTGACTCTTTAGCTATGAGTAGAATGAGTGAAAAAAAAAGACATCATTCTGTTTGTGCAGTCAAAAGCTGTTTTAATAAGGGTTATACCTGCAAGAAAACATTCTTTAGTTTTCCCAAGGACCCAAACCGATAAGTACCACATTATAAGAAATTTTCATTGTTAAAAATATAATTCATACAGGGTATCCCATTAGTGCGTTATTGTTCATTATTTTGTTGTAGACACGCAAGAAAGTTTTAAATAAAAGTTATATGGATTTGAAAAATACCTACATATTTTAAAAATATCTTTGGATATACAGGGTGTCACGTTTTTGCCTGGCAAATTAAAATGTATGTTTTTTAAATGGAACACCTTGTATTTTATTTTATGATAAAATTATTAACACCCTAAATTATTGTAAAGACGAATTGATACAGAAAAATTTTATCAGGTATGTGTGTGGTTACCTTTTAATAAAAGCCTTGCGGATCCACTCCTCTGCGATACCTGTCTTAAATATAACAAAGATCACGTTGAATTAGATGATTTTTCTTTTTATTGCTTTTTAAAGGCATATGATAACGCCAATCCAGATACATTTGGAAATCTGCAACTGTCAAATGATGAATTTGTAGAACTA